TCATTTAAAGGTAAATCAGGATTTACTGCAAATTCAAACTTTAAAACCTCAATTATAAGATATACTACTAATAACATTGAATATTTTTTACTATTAAATACTTCAATTGCTTGATTAAATGGTTCAAAAACCTTAATCAGCTCTTCAACTAATTTCCATTCTTTCTCACTAAGTAAGTATTTTTTAAATTTTTGTCTATCTTTCCTATCATCTGAATTTCGTGAAATACTTAAGTTTGCCTCTAACTATAAAATCGCATCTTTTAATTTTAGTAACCTTTTCCAAGAGTGGTATTTTGAATTTTACTATATTAGATAATCTTTAGTTAAGTTAATTGTTTTATAAATAGGATTTGCAGTAGTATTTAAATTTGTTTGTTCTTATAAATCAACATCACTTTCATTATCAACTTCTCTAGGTTCTTCATTATTTTCGGAATACATATCAAGATTAATTAAGCTAGTTGAAGAAAGCTCATCTCTTTCTATTACTTTGATTTGTCTTTATTTAATCTTTCTCTTTGCTTTAGTGTATCAAAAAAATAAACAAGTTTTTTAATTTTTTTTGTTTGTATATGAATTTTTTTAGAGCAAGATTAACTGTTAATTGTAAGGTGTGGGCTGCACATGGAACTCGACAAATATTATTCCACAATCAAATAGCCTTAATCATATTAATAGCATTGTCAATAACAGCACATACAATTTTATTCTCAAGATTATACTCAAAACTTTTTTTGAGAGAAATTGGTGAATAGATTCAGAGGTATGTAGATATTTAAGTTTCTCATAACATAATAATATACTATATAATAACCAATTTGGAGTTATCCAATGACACATAACTTCAATATATCCCTGATCACTATATAACATCCATAAGTCAGTAGTAATTGTAGCATTTTTCAAGTTAAATTAATTTCATGTTTGAGAGTTTCTATATTTTTTAAATAACTAAGTGCTATTTCATTTTTTATTAATTAATCAGATGGATAGCGAAATTTTGGATCAATTATTGACATCATTTGCCAAAATTCTTTTTTTCTTGGTGCTGATAATGGCTAATCATCAAGTAGTATCCATTCTGTAATGGCTTTGTTTATTTCTTTTCTCCGAATACCTTTATATAGATTATTTGTATTAAGAATTTCTGGTAATGTAGTTTGTTTTATTTGTTGAATTTCTAATTTTAATTTTTTGAGATCTACAATATTATGTTGTGATCGCAAGTGAGCAATCATGTTCGATATAAATTTATTATGGGTATAATCATGTCTACATTTTTGCTCGATTCCATTTTTTTTAACTTTTACTTTACATACATCTTTTGTTCCAATTACATCAAAATATTTCTACACAAAACTTTTTTTATGTCAACCTTGACTTCTTTTTGTTGGATGAGTTAATGCATTTGTAGATGTATTGTCACTACTAGTTTGACTATCACTTTTACTAGTGTAGGTCATGATTTGAAAACTTGAATCAGATTCTTCTTGAGAATCCATTTTTTTTAGTTTTATGAGTAAATATTTTTATTAAGTTTTTAAAATTTATAATTATAATTATAGTAATTATTACGGCTTTTATTTTTTTTCAATTTTAATTAACATTATAAATTATATTTATTTTTTTATATATTTGAATTCTTACTATCAGATTCTTTGAAAATAATAGCAAGATATAAACATATTATTTGTTGCAGCCAGGGTTATTATGAAATGTGTATAGATATAATCAAAAAGATAAACTATTAAATTTAAGAACAATAGGATTGATGAGTATACTTGTATGTGATCGCAGTTCTACTGCAAGATCCTGACATCCAAAATCTTGACAAGGTCAAGATCTTGACAAGTTAACCCACATTAGATTAGTGTTAGCTGTAGTTTTTGTCAGAATTTTGTCTGTCAAAATTTTGGATATTGGGATTTTGTAATAGAATCATTATCACAATTGATTATGAATTTGCTGTTGCATTATTAATTAGTTATGTATTGGTCATATGTTTGTACTTTACATAGTTCTCCTGGTCTTATTCATTTTTTATACTGAAATGTAAGAAAAACATTTAAATGCATAATTATTAGAACTAGAAATGTTATCAGCTGAGCTCAGCTTGTATATTTAAGATCAATTGTTGAATAGAGTCAAATAGCTAATAATATCTCTAGTTAGGACAATATACTTTACAAAGACAATAATAATTTAGAATATACGCATGATGATTTCAATAGATAGAGAACTTGTAGATGGCATTAATACCTTTACATGTCTAATTTTATCTAATTATATATCGTATATAAATATGAAATCATATATTCATATGCTGAATAATATTTCTTGTGAAATAAAGATAATGCAATTGATAATTTTATGATCTCTAAACAATAATATATAAATTTGTAAAATTATTGATCACATTATCTTAAAAGCATAATGGAATTATAGATGCTGAATTTCATATAGAATGTATAAATGTATATTAATTTATGTTAATCGTTAATATCATTGACTTTAGTGTTTGCACTTTTTAAATTACAAATTTATACTCTAATATTGTATATACTAAAGCCTGTTTTTGGCTTATTTTGTTTTATTGTATTAATTATAATTTATATTTTATATATATAAGCTGATAACATTTCTAAATTCGAATTAGTATTATTCAAATAATAGAGATAATAATGGAGATAATATTGTGTCTAATTCAGAAATTTTTTATCTCTTAGCATTTGGCATTTTTATCTAGCATTAGTGTTAGTTAATATGATTATTTTAAAAAATTAATATACAGATTTATGCGCAATCTACATGAGTTGGCCAATCAAAATATAAATCGTAAAACTGGCAAAAAATTAACAGATTAACTGGATAAGCATTTTTTTTTTTTTTTTTTTTTTTTTTTTTTTTTTAATGTTAAGGTGACTACTTTGGGGTCTGGCACGGTTTATTAAACTTTGGATCAAATGCCAGGGCAACCACATGGGCTATCTCTGACTTTGTTACATTAACAAGGATATATGCTAGCCATATATACAACTTTTGGTTGTCTATTTAAACAGTCTTGTATATGTAACCCATATGAACTACACTAGATGTCGTACCTGTAACCCACTATTACTTGAGTTACCCAATTAAATCCTCTGATTAACTTAGTGCCGTCAGGTTATTCTCTTCAAAGAAGAACTGCTGTGTAAAAAGTTTTTTCTTTTTCTTTTACTTCCTTACAAGAAAATGTCATCAAATTGGTGATATCTTATTGTAGAGCAATGGTCGGACAAGCCCTCTGGTTAGGATATTATTTTATATCTTACTGATGTGGCGAGTTATCTATGAGTGCTCAGATAGCCTTTGGTTATGTTGCAGTAGTTGTAGGATGTCAGGACTAGAGTTTTATTGTTTTAAATATTCTATAAGATGATGATTTGAATAAATATAAGTTATTAGTATGATCTTGCCTAAGTAAAAAAAAATAAAAAAACTTTTAAAGAAATACAGAGGTATAAGGAAATATATTTAAAAAAATATAAACAAGAAATGAATAGAATAAGAGGAAAATGAAAAAACTAAACTAAATATGAGATTTTTCACTTGCACTGGACAGTTATAATTATTACAAGTTTAAATCTAACTGCATCATATTTAATAGAAGATGGTATAAATCAGGAAGAAACAATCTCTTCTTTATTATAGAAAATCTATTACGACCTACTAAGAGATATAAAAAAATTAAATGATTTTTTAGAAGAAAGAGAGTAAAAAACTTAAAATTATATATAAAGACTTGATCAAAATATATAATAAGAGGGGGGAGGGAGTAAGCTTCTGATAAAAAAAATTAGATAATAAATAATACTGCCCTAATATCTAAAATACACAAAGAGCATCAGGAATTCTATAGTGAAATAGCTTCCTTCAGCCAAAAGAAATCCATGCCTTAGTAATAGCATACATGAACAATTCTCTATGGATTGCACCAAACAAAAAATCACTTACTAAAATTCTCAATACTGTCTTCTCATTCTACAGATTTGCCAATTTAAAGGTTAATTTACAAAAATTTACACTAATAACAAACTCAATAGCTTTGGATAAAACTATAATCCTCAATAATGAACAATTAATAGTAATCACAAATGAAACACCATTTAAATACTTAGGAGTATAGTTTTCAACAAATAGAAAACCAATATTAGTACAAAAAGAAATCATGACTAAAGCAGTAATTAATCTAAAGATGTTACAATTCGTCTATATAACAGAAAAACAAGCAATTTATATAATTAATAGTGTTATTACTCCTCACCTTCTATACTGACTATATTCTTCTTTCTTTCAGCCTCACAAACAAACACCCTTAACAAGACCTGCATTCAACTAATTAAAAATAAAGCAAAACTAGCCCAAAAAGTTCACAACTTTTTCATATTTAATACAAACATTTATACATTAAACAGCTTAGCTCAAGCCTAGCTCTTATAATTGATACTGATGTTTTAAAAAAATCTAAATCACCCTAGCTTTGACTCATCCTTCCCAAAGCTATAGCTACAACTACAGTATGTAGCAAACACCAATATATCTATTCTTTTACAACTCCTGGTCTTTCCAACCATACAAACCTATATACAAACCTGCTAAATAATATTGGCATTACATATACTTTGATTACAAACCTTATACAATAGAGACAATTAGCCTCTTCTAAAAGAATTCACTAGTACTCCAAAAAACCAGATCTTTTTAGACTACTCTAGAGCTTCATATTTCAAAGAGAAACTAAACAACCACAACGTTTTTAGTATCAAACAATTCCTAAATACAACTAATACTGAACTCCTAGAGTGAAATAATTTTTACTACAATATCAAAAAAATATTTAAAGGCTAACATCTGTGCTGGTTCTATACAATTCAAGATCTAATAGCAGGCTTTACAAATCTTTTGTCATTATCTTTACGATTAAACCCTCATACTTTAACTAACTGAACCCATAACAAAAAGAGCTAGATAATTACAAACAAACTAGTTATTAGAAGAATATACAACTTATTAAACAAACACTTAAAACTTGACATTATATCTTACAACCAGATAATACACTAACTGCTTGTAAGAGCTGTAGTCTCAAAAATTACTATTATCATTCTAAATACTGCTACTTTAATATTGCAAGAAAAAGATACATATTAATTTAAACAATTTTAAAAAAGCATTAGCTCTCAGCTTTGTCTATATATTCTCATCCTGCAATCCAAAAATACTTCTAATACTAGCTAGACCTCTTTGTATCTTTACAAACCCTCTATTTCATCTTGCTTTGGAATACATTAACAAAAACAAATTTTAATACAAAAACTCTGATACTAACTATGACAAGTACTC